TCTGGGACTCAGAGAATAGATGTGTCCATGGTTGGTGTATTCTGCGTGCCAGTAGACATATCTGCTCTCAGACAATTTTGTAAAATCTGTGTCAGTACATGTGGCCCAGAGTGTTATACAGGAGCTGGCTGGTGCTTCTTCTTTTGTGCTTATTTAGGAAATATAAGAAATAACTCCTGGGTTCCTGCATTGTACTATTGTCTGAATGACAAATGGTAAATCTGGACCCCACTTCCTCATGCCCCCCACCCCCTGTAGGGAAAGACCCAATTTCCAATTCTGGATTCCTACAAGCATAGCTCAAGAATACCATTATTGTCATCACAGCTGAGCCTGGAATCCAAGCTCTGGGGAAAATGTGCCCTCTGAGATAAATGTCCCTTCACTTCCTGTGGCTCCACATTCAATGGGCTGAACACCCTCAAGAATTATTCATGGAAGAGGGTACCATAGGCCATAGATGGTATGTATGCGTAGTGTAAAGGGGTCTCCAATTCTCTCTGGAAAGGAAGGTGTCACCTACTAGACTGAGTCCCCTGGCCATTCTCAACTGGCTAGTAGCTGCAGAAATGGATCTACATCAGGGAACTTACACTTTCTTCTCTTCTACACCAAGAAGACAGATCCGTAGCACATGAGATGAATGAGTTTTTGACTTTAATGTCATTGTTTTGGAAACCAGCACAACTGTGTCAGTAAGTTGTCCAGAAAGACATTGGACCAGAAGACCCTAGAGGCCATCTGCTCCCCCAAAAACTGTTCCATCTGGCAGTTTTCCAGCCCACCTGCCCCTGACAGCCTCATCTCAAGGTGAGACACAGGATATCCAGCAAAACCTGGTTCCCAGGACCATTTCATGACCTGGCCAGACCAGGCAGTCCTCCTGTGTTAGTGGGCTGGGGCCCTTTAGGATGCCATCCTATTCCCTGAGCATGGCATTTGTACCCATGAGAAACATGTGCACCAGTTAGGAGAAATGCACAGAGCTGTCCTACTAGTTCCAGAGACTTGCTTGGCCCTCGGGAGAGCTCATTAGACTTTATTTTGGATTTCCCCTAGAGCAGCTCTGTTATGACTGACAGTCTAAGAAGACCCACCTCATCCTCAAAACAAGGTCTTCTCAGCCTTTTCTAGGCACAGGTGCCCTGGGAAAGCCCCCCAGTGTTCTGGTCAGCTGCCTCCCACCCACGTTTCCAGGAGAAGCGCCTGTGGAAAGGCAGATTCCACTCCTTCCCTGAACATCTCCTCCAGACAGTGGTTGGCAGATGGGCATTGGCCTTTGCTAGAACTGTACTTCCTGTCTCATAACCACTACATCTTCATGAAGCTGCACTTTCCAACCCTGCCCTTCCTTTATTCTGTTCAGCAATACTGATAAACCTGCCAGGGACCCTCCTCTTCACAAAAGCACCTATTTGCAAACCCAAAGAAGCAGAAGCTGCTGCTGGAGGAGCCACCAGGTACTCCCCATTTCATCACCACACACACATCACCTGGCAGTCCTAAAATCTAGGACAGTCTGGGGGACATTCCAGCTCACCATAGTAAAAGTCATAGACACATGGAGGTTTGCAGAAATATTAGGAGTGGAGACTTGGGAAAAGGCTGCATTGTTCATTCAAGCCTTTCCTGGCTCCAGCCCCAGCCTCCAGACTCCCTCTGCTCCTGGTGGTCTCCAGCCCTGCCCTCATTGGCACCCTGAGGCTCATAAGGAGACCCCAGGCCAACCACAGCTGGGAAGACACTCCTCCTCCTTTCTGAACGCAGGTCTGATCCCACAGCCTTAGTTCCATGCTTGTGGAGGCATCCAACATGGAGCTGCCTGGTTCACTTGTCACTTCTACATTGCTTGGAGGCTGGTCAGGTTCTCTATCCTCATGCCCCAGTGGCACTGTTGCTGCAGCTGCCTCCTGCCCTTAAACTCTCTAGTCCAGAATTCCAACTACTCATCTCAGGGATAGACCTCTGGTTCTCACATGAGAGTCCGAGGTTGAAGAATCACCCCCACCATGTTATGCCACTGAGACCCTGGTAGAGGGTCTTGACTACAAGTTGTCCAGGCTCTTGGTGTTTTGAACAAAGAATTGGACAAACACACAGCAAAGCAAGAAAAGAATGAAGCAACAATAGAACAGAAGCAGGGGTGTATTGAAAATGAAAGTACACTCCACAGTGTGGGAGCAGGCCCCAGGCAATGCTCAAGGGTCCCCAATACAGAATCTTCTCTGGTCCAATTACCCCCTGGAGATTTCTCATTGACCACTTCATGCTCACCTCATGTAAATGAAGTGGTGGCCTGCAAGCAGTCTGATTGGTTGTGGAAAGCAACCAACCAGACAAGCAGGCTGATTGGTTGTGGAAAGCAACCAACCAGAGACTGAAGTGATGTCACAAAGGTCACACTCCTATGCAAACATCTGATTGGTTGCAGAAAGCAACCAATCAGAGGCTAAAGTGAAGTTATAAAGTTGCTCTTCCATGCAAAGGAAGACTTGGCCCACAGACAGCAACCAATCAGAGGCCGAAGTAAAGTCACAAAGTTACACTCCTATGCAAACATCTGATTGGTTGCAAAAATCTACCAATTCATAGGTACTTTCAATTTCCTATCTGCCCTGCAGAAAAGGGACAACCAGTGTGATTGGTGGCAGAAAGCAAAACAATTTTGTGGGGTTTGCAAAGGGAGTGGCCTCTGTACCTTTTGTTACTTAGGCATAGAAAGTGAGGATTTTCCTTGCAATTTAGTTCTAGGAAGCTGCCATGAAATGGCCTTAGATTCCCTGCCTCCAGACCCTATTTTCCTGCCTCAACCACACCAGTGAAGTCTGAACTGAAACTGCTCTTGGTGAAGTCTATGAATCCCATCATCTGGCTGCATCCTGTGCCTGGTGGTCCTTCCTCAATCCCTGCCTCTCCTACTTTTGAGTTTTCTAGGTTCCAGAAGCCAGTACTGCTTCTGTGACAGCAAAAACTTTCCCTATTGCCTGTGTTCCTTGCAGCCATGGAACATGCCCCAAGAGTTCCATTATTTCCTTCTAAAGTTCAGTCCAGCAGGATTTTTAGAAGTTCACGCTACTTGTTAATTTGGTACTGTCCCTTTGGTGTGTCTGACATTGTTTTCTGGATCAGAGAAACTTTGCTTTCTTCACAGAGGCCTACCTGTGATTCTCTATAAACCAGCAGAGCATGGTGCATGCTCATCTGTCTCCAACCTCATCTGACAAGAATGTCTCCCTCCTTGCTGCCAAGAGGTGCTCCAGAATGGGCATGTCCGCCCATGAAGTTCAACCCTTAAGGAATTCCCTGCCAACCTGAGGCTCATTGGTCTGGAATTCCAAGTGCTCCTTTTAGCAGCCCCTAAGCACACCCAGAGAAAAAGCTGGCACATTCATGTCAGTGCCATTCAGTGGCTGGGCCTCCCTGCTGCCCAGAGGCGGTGAGAGGGGAGAGTGTGAACCATACCAGTGCATACTGGTGTGGTCTGTGTTGGGGCCAGTGTGCCTCATGGAGACTGGAATCAGAGGACAAGAGGACAGCTGTGCCCAACAGAGGCTCAGCTTACCAGCCCTTCAGTCCCATAGAGCTGGAGATTCATGGGGGGTTGGAAGAGTGAGAGACAGCAAGACACATACATACACATACACACACACACACACACACACAGAGAGAGAGAGAGAGAGAGAGAGAGAGAGAGAGAGAGAGAGAGAGAGAGAACGCGCTACAGGTGTGCAGTGCCTGACAGAAATGATGACCTTGCCCACCGGAAAAGCTGTTCTCACCACTGTCCTGGTGCCCGGCTCATTCACTCATAGGGGAAAAAAGGGCAGAAGTGGAGTGAGGGTAGAAAGCCTTCTCCCTCAGATTTTCAAATGTACCTGGACAAGCATCCTTATTCACAGCTGGAAGAAGTTGGATTCAGCAGAATGCAATTTGGAAAACATGGCTCTGAAGCACCATCCCCTCTGGCCCCTGAATCCTCCCCGGCTTCCACCCTCTGCTCACCTCAGGCCCTGGATTCCAGCGCCCCCAGGCCTCCAGCTGCCTCCCTGTCTCTGCCCCATGGCTTTGCCTGGAGTTCTGGTCCCTAGTGTGTCCTGTGGTCCCATTCTCACATGCCCTTCGCTTCTGTTTCTTTCCCTGTGACTTTATACTGACGTAGAGTGGGTCTTCTAGGTCACTTCTTGTTGTTTGAGGAATGAGGAACCAGAATCTAAATGGAAAATCCAGGCGCAGATAGAACCCCCAGCTGGAGTCACCCTGCCCTTCCATGTCTAGATCATCGGGGTTCCAACCTCCATCCTCCTCCAATGAGAAACCTTTGTTCTCTCAAGATTCCAGCGACTTCTCCGAAGCTCAGAGGTCTCTTCACCCCTGGCTGTTGCAAGGCGGCTCCATAGTCAAGATTCCTTAACCCCTTGCACCTAGAATGTTCGCCTTTCTTACCACGCTGGCTCCAGCCTCTGGTCCCAGGGGCGTGGAAAGTTCTCTCTTACCTCTGGCTGATTTCCTGGAAGGCTAAGAACACTCTCCCCAGGTTATACGGGCGAGCATTGTCAGGACCTACCTTAGTCCAGTCCAAGCTCTCCCATGGGCCTGAGAGAAGATTTGAAGTTTCCGGTTTTCCCTCCCACCCTCCAGCCCCCATCCCCAGCCATCTCAGCAAGGGGATGGAGCAAACATGGAGTCTCCCCCACCCCACCCCCAACTCCCATGTAAACTATGCCCCCTCTTAGAAGGCAGAGCAGCTAAGGACACTTTTGTTTCAAGCACATTTGTTTGCTATCCATTGCACAAACTAGTGGGCTCCGGGAGCTGGCCCTGCTCGTCCCCCGGGCCCTCCTTCCCTGGTCCTGCACGTCTTGCCGCCTGTCAGGCCTCTCCTGCAACCCTCTGCCACATTTCAGAAAAGCTGAGAACCCCTTGGAGTGAGAAAGGAGGAGAAACACAGCATCTGCAGCCATGCAGGAGGTTAAATAAATACTTTCACTTCTCTTTTCCCCATTTGGGCGGAGCCCTCTCTCAGTCTGTCGGCCGACTTCCTGCTTGGGGCCTGAGCAGCCACACTCCAGGCAAGCTGGGCTGACCGAGGGTCTCAGAGGCCAGGTTTTGAGGCCCAGGGAGCGCCTAGGGTGGGAAGATGGCAGACGGGGGCAGCGACCTGAGCACCGGGTGAGTCTTTACCTCCTTTCCTTTAACCTTTATCTCTGGCTATATTGCAGCTCTCCTCAGGCCGTTTGTTCTGTTTGTGTCTAAGGCTTCACTTTAGTTTAATCCTTCTTTCCAAGAACATAGGTATGTGATGTGATGTGATAGAATGAAATGAAAGAGAAGATAATGAGGAAATCAGATTTTTAAAACGGGAGCAGGACAGCTGTTGGTGTGAGTCCAGCTTGCCGTAACACATGTGACTTTCTTATTGTGAAACTGCTGCTCAGCTGGCCAGGACACTCTGAACATAGCAGTCGTTTGCGGCTGGGATTAACTGTTTCCTCATGATCTCTGGACCTTTTCACATCCCTTGGCCTTCCTCTGCCTTCACATATGTCATGTCAAATAAAGGTAGTTTAGAAAATAAACACTCCAGGGTAAACACCTGGCTTACTTTTAAACACTGGATGCTGTGGTCTCACCTGTCCTGGCAAGGGGCCTCTGTTGGCTATTCCCATGACTGGCTCAGAGTCTGAGTTCTTTGATCAACCTTGATCAAAATAAGGAAAAGGAAGAAAACAGACCAGGACGGTAAAAGGCTAAATATGTTAATTTTTACTTCAATATCCTGTTCCAAGATGGGGGATACCTCTGACCAGAGAAGAGAAGGAAATCCTATCTTTTCTCTAGTAACGAGTTCCAAAATAACATTACTTAATCTTCTAAATTTTTTAATACAGAAGAAATACACTATACATTATTGTTCATAAAATTTAAAACAGTAGAGAAGTAAATTAAGGGAAAAAGTTATCTTTAGCACTCACCCACCCTTGTAGCTTCCCTTCCTAGTCCTGTGAAGAGTCTTGGGCATAGCTTTTTAAATATTTTTCTATGCATTTATATATATATATATACAAATTATGTATTTACAAAAAATACATTTTATATATATAGATAATGCATTTTTTGTAAATACATAATTTGTATCCTTGTTTTGTAATAAATTACATTATCATATATACAATAATAACATATATACAATTTATTTATATACAATAAATAAATCTTTATCACTCACCCACCCTTGTAGCTTCCCTTCCTAGTCCTGCGAAGATTCTTGGGCATAGCTTTTTAAATATTTTTCTATGCATTTATATATATATAAATTATGTATTTACAAAAAATGCACTTTATATATATAAATATATTTATTTATATATATATTATATTTATATATATTTATATATAAAATGCATTTTTTGTAAATACATAATTTGTATCCTTGTTTTGTAATAAATTACATTGCATGTGTTATTCTGCATTTTGCATTTTTACTTATTTTAATAGTGGAAAACTTGGAGATCTTTTAACCTTAATACATATAGATCTGCCTCATTCTTTTTATACATCCCATTCCATAGAATTGATATATCATAATTATTTGTTCCCCAATTGTTGGACACTTAAGTTGTTTTAAATTGTTCACATTGACCAATAAACTATCATAACAATGATTATATATTTCTTTTTGGGTTTTTACATGTATGCAAGTATTTATCTTGTCTCTAAACCTTAGAAAATGGAATTGTTGAGGCAAAAGGTCCAGTTATATACTTGTTTTCTTTTTCAAAATTATTTATTTATGTTGGTACATAGCAGGTATATATATTTATGTGGTATATGAAATACTTTGATACAGGCATACAATGTATAATAATCCCATCAGGGTAAATGGGTTATCATCACCTCAAGTATTTATTCTTTCTTTATGTTACAAACATCCCACTTATACTCTTTTAGTTACTTTAAAATGTACAGTAAATTATTGTCAATTACAGTCACCATGTTGTACCATCGAATTCGAGGTCTTCCTCATTCCATCTAACTGTATTTTTGCACCCATTACCATTTCTACTTCCCCTTCCTCGACTACCCTTCCCAGTCCCTGGTTACCATCCTTCTACCCTCTATTTCCATAAGCTCAGTTGTTTTGATTTCTAGCTCCCACAAGGAAGTGAGAACATGTGAAGTTTGCCTTTCTGTGCCTGGCTTATTTCTCCAGTTCCATCCATGTTGTTGCAAATGTCAGGATCTCATTCTTTTTTATGGCCAAATAGTATTCCATTGTGTATATGTACTGTTTTTTCTTTTTTTTTTTTTAATATTTTATTGCATTTTAGGTTTTGGGGTACATGTGAAGAACATGCAAGATTGTTGCATAGACTTGTTTATAGGTCCTGCCAAATTGTCTTTCTAGGAGGCTGAATGAATGTATTTCACCACTAGCAATTGAGATGAACCATCTTCCTACAAACAGCCACAGTTTGCAAAGGTGATGAATGAAGAGTTACATTTTGTTTTAATTTGTATTTTCCTTATGATGTGGAACATTTAACAGCTTTTCATGTTTCTTGGCCATTTAAATTCCCTCTTCTATAAATTGCTTGTTTATTTTTTGCCAATGTGATTGAGTTATTTGTCCTTCTTTTTCATGATATGGGAGAATTCACTAAATATTCTGTAAGTATAAATATACTTTTCTTGTCCATTACCTTTGTGTATGGTGACTTTTATCTTATTAAAGCTTAAAATTTTATGTATAAACTTCTTGTGATACGGATTTTTTAAGGTAGATGCACGTTCGTTATGAACGAAGTCACACTGGCACACTCCGTGGGCAATGTCAGTCTTCACAGTTGATCCTGTGTTAAGGTGGCAGATTCACTGCTACCGATATTCAAGGAAGAGTTCCTTCTCTAATATCTTTCAACACTTTTTAAATTTTTAAACAAAAATATTCTTACATTGGAGTCACTTTAGCTCTCACAGCTTTTATTTGCCTCCTGGTGCTTTCACCTTTTCAATTTTTTACTTTGTGTTCATCATAGTTGTCTCAAACGTCCCTCCATGACAATTATTTACCTTTTAGTAGCTTTCTTGTTTCTTGTCATTTTGAATTTTTAAAAAATTGATAGCATTTATTTTTGAGGAGGGATCTTAATTTGTTTCTACGCGTCTGCAAGCTCCATGACCCCTTGTCATTCAGTCTTCACAGTCTTGCTTTATTTAGGTGTGCATGTGCTGTTAAGAACTTTGGGATAGTCTCCTGGTCGTCTCTGAGTTATTCTTCCGACTGATTCTGTCTGATCTTGTGTTCCGTGTGCCTGTGGCAGTTTTACAGCTCCTCTAGCCAGGCTTAACCCCAGCAGCTCACCCCAAACTTCCCACTTGCTTAGTCATAATCTGGGTGAACTTGTGTGTTTTTTTTTTTACATTTCCTGTTTTATCTGAGGTCAAATTGTTTTTTGTATGAGCTACAGTTTGCAGTCTTTGTTTTGATTCTTACCAATCTTTCTGAGGACACCATTAATTGATTAAATGATCCTTTTCCCCACTGATTCACAGTGCTACCCTTTTTGGGAGTATAGAGGCAGGGTGTGCTGCTGTGTTCTCTCTTCTCTGCCCTTGGCCTGTGACAGCCCCTCCTGATGCCAGTGCCACACTGCCATAGTGACGACAGCTTCCTGGGAACTCTTGACCTAATGAGGGAGCAAATCTCTTCCTCTTCCTCCAAAACGTCTTGGACTTTTGTGTTCCCAAATTCACTTGTCAAGATGTTGGAATTTTGTGTGGAACTGCACTCAATCTATAAATCAATTTGAAGAGAACAGATGTTTTTACAATATTACAACTTCCATCTAGTGGATATGGTTTGTGTATATTATTACTTTAAAAATATTTTCTATTAAACTTTGTATTTTTCTCTCTGAAGGCTTTGTACTTCTGCTAGATTCCTTCATAGATATTTGATCTTTTTATGCTGTTGTTAACTATTGTAGCCCTCCCTTATCAACAGTTTTACTTTCTGAGGTTTCAGTTACTTGTAGTAAAACTTGGTCCAAAACATTAAATGGAAAATTCCAGAAATAAACAATTCATGAGTTTTAAGATACTTCCCATTCTGAGAAGTGTGATGAAATCTCATGCTGTCCCTCTCCAGCCCACCCAGTATGTGAACCATCCCTTTATCTAGGGTATCCACAATGTAGACACTAATGGCCCATAAGTCACTGAGTAGCTGTCCTGGTGATCAGATTGACTGTCCTGGCATAACAGAGTTTGTGTTCAAGGAACTCTTATATTTTAGTCAATAGTGGCCCCAAAGCACAAGAGGATTGATGCTGGCAATTCAGACATGCCAAAGAGAAACCGTCAAGTGCTTCCTTTAGGTGAAAATGTGAAATTTCCTGAAAGAAAAAAAATCATATGCTGAGGTTGGTGATGTCTACAGTATGATGTTTTGAGAGAGAAAAAGAGACCACATTTACATAATTTTTATTACAGTACATTGTGATAGTTGATCTACTTTATTATTAGATATTGTTAATCTCCTATTGTGCCTAATTTATGTATAGGTAGGGGAAAACATAGTATATACAGAGTTTGGTAGTATCTACGATTTCAAGCATCCACTGGGGATCTTGGAAGCATCCCCTGTGGATAAAAGGGAACCAGTTTATTAAATTCTATGTATGAATTTGCATTGGTTACCCTTGTTTTAATCCATCATTCTATTTTTCATTCTTGTTTCAATATTGAAATGTTTTAGTTACTGTGATTTTTTTTTCTTGGTCATCTTATTTTACTCAACATTGTGAAATTGATCTCTGTTGTTGCCTATAGTTGTGCTTTATCCACATTTATTGCTCTACATTGTAAGGTGATATAAATACGCTACAATTAGTTTATTTACTGTTCATAAACATTTTGGTGATTTTTCAGATATTTTAGTGTTCCTATAAACTGTCTTGGGCAATTTTTTATTTTTTTAATTTTTATTTTTCTAAGATGGGGTTTCACCATGAGCAGTGTTCTGTAATCTACCTTACTGGGATTCAATTGGGAGACACTAAATGCACAGATAAATTTAGGAAGAATTTGTGTTTTAAAAGAAATTCAGAATGACCCCAATTAGAAACATAGTATATCTCTCCATTTATTCATGATTCTTTGAACTTGGGACTTTATTGGGTCACTTTAGTGCTAGGCATTTAAAACTTGTATTTATAAACAGGAATTCATTTTCCTTTTACATTGTCTATGTATTTCTTGCTGGCATTGGGGAAATTATTCATTTTAGCTCGCTGATCTTGTGCATGAAAGTCTTACTAAGTGGTCTTCTCCCTCCTAATACTGTCTTATGTTTTTCTCGAGAAATAATTACATCTTCAAAAATAGTAGCAGCTCTTTTTCAGAATTTATACCCCTATTCTTTTCTTTTTCTATCTTATTTTCTCTTTCTCTTTTGCCTTAGTGTGTTAGCCAGGACTGCCAGTGTAATACTGAATAGTAACAGTAAAAACAAGCATTTTAGTTTTGTTCCTGAGTTGGGGGGGAATACTTATAATATTTAAATTGAAGCTTTCTGATAGACACCTTTTTTCAAGTTAAGGACATTTTCCGCTGGCTCTGGTTTACTAAAAGTTATTAATTTCTTTTTATTATTATAATTTAAGTTCTGGTGTACATGTGCAGAACATGCAGGCTTGTTACATAGGTATATGTGTGCCATGGTGATTTGCTGCATCCATCACCTGGTCATCTACATTAGATACTTCTCCTAATGCTATCTCTCCCCTAACCCCCACCTCCTGCCATCCCTCCTCTACCTCCCGCACCCCCTGACAGGCTCCCAGTGTATGATGTTCCCCTCCCCAATCCCATTACTGGGTATATATCCAAAGGACTATAAATCATTTGATTATAAAGACACAGGCACATGTATGATTATTGTGGGACTGTTCACAATAGCAAAGACTTGGAACCAACCCAAATGCCCATTAATGATAGACTGGATAAAGAAAATGTGACATATATACACCATGGCATACTATGCAGCCATAAAAAAGGATGAGTTCATGTCCTTTGCAAGGACATGGATAAAGCTGGAAACCATCATTCTCAGCAAACTGACACAAAAACAGAAAACCAAACACTGCATATTCTCACTGATAAGTGGGTGTTGAACAATGAGAGAACTAGTTATTTCTTTTAATCAGGTCTGTGTATAGGATATTTATCAAAATGCCTACTACAGAATCTTTGAGAATTGTATCACTTTTCTGTTTTAATCTGTTTATCCAGAGTAAATTATATTGAAACATTTTATTAATTCAGTTGTTAATTTCACCAAAATAAAACATTTATATAGCTTAAAGTACCAGTCAATAAGGCCTTTAAAAACATAAGTACTTCCTTCTGCCGTCTTCCCAGCCTGTGTCCAGTTTCCCACATGGATTATCTTTAAGTTTTTGGCTCTTCCTTCTGTATTTACTTCTGTAATTGAAAATGATATGCTGATACAACTTTTGGTAATTTTTCAAGTTTCAGACATTAATCTGTTCACATAATAGAAAAGAAGATTTAGACTTTTTCCATAACACTCCTTCATTCCCTGTCCATTCTCATAATACATCACAGTTGGAGGTTTGTCAGTAATCAGCGTTATCATTATGATGACTACTTAAATGTTGTTTGTAATCAAGTGATGTACTATATTATGATCACGTTGCCATTCCTGTGCAACATCCCCCTCAAAATAAGTATTACCCTCATATATTTGCTTGGATTTTTTGTGTCCTCATTATGAATTCTTCCCAAGCGCGCTACAGAATTCTAAAACTCTTCTCAGTACAGTGAGGCACATTGAGTAATTTATCAATTCCATTTTCCTTTCTTGGAGAAACCCTCCTGGAATTATTCATTCTCCTGATCCCATCAGTTCTGGTTAGTTTCAGCTTCCAAGGCTGACCTTCTGCAGTTTGACATCTCTCCTGTGTTCGGTCTTGTTTTGTGGATTATATATATTCTTCTTTCATGCTTTGCTATCTCATGTTGGTTTACCACATTACCCAATAACCTCCTGACTGAGAGTTCATAGAAGGTATATATACATATATATATATATATGCATATATCTGTGTGTGTATATACATATTTTTTTAATCGTACATGTCTGAAAAAAATTTTTATCCTTAATCCTCACAACTGCATAAATATTTGGTAAGTATAAATGCATTGTTTGGAAATTAATTTAGTTAACTGTCTTGCAATTTCTGGCATTGCTAATAAGAAGTTTGATGCCATTCTGATTCTTGATCTTGTCTTTCTATGTCACTGTTTCACCTCTCTCAAACTTTCTGGCTCTTCTCTTTAATCCCTTGATTCTAAAATCTCATGATGGTTTGCCTTGGTGTGAGTGTTAAATTCATTTGTTATGCTTTGCTCTCCAGGACCCATTCAAATGGAAACCACTTTATGTCAATTCTGATC